TTTTCCAGAAACTACTAAAATAATAGTCGTTAGGAAGTCCTAGGTATATGCCTACATATCATTGACCCAAAAAACCACCCCAACTGATCGGCATATATGCCATACATGGAGTGTCTGGGATATGGCACTGCGTCAAAACAGGGCGTCCTCGTTGACCACTGAAAGGTGATCAGAATCGATTCCGGCAGATGTATGGCGCGGATGGACCGGATGGTTTTGTTTGCCACAGGTGGGGCCGCCACGTGGACGGGACGATGCGGAGATTGAGAAGCTCTTCGGGGGGTGACCAAGCTGCGTTTGGCGAGTGCCCAGCTGAAGTTCAAGAAGCTGCATGTTCTAAACTCCGAGTCACTAACATGGAACGGGAGAACCACCTGTTGTAGTTTGTAAAAGAAAATGGTCCGAAATTTTCCCGTTCCATGATGATTTCTGGAAGTGTATCATGTGTGTCGCAAGTTTCAAGCCGAGGTTGTAAGCATCCCATACTGGTCCACACTCATCCTCATATCCAACATGGAATGTGGGAAGTTGAACATAGCCGCATGGGGATGCAACTTCCAGTTGCATTTGCCTTCACCAGCCGGGTCTAAGGGCCTAACATTTCTCCAGCAACTTCATCCGGACCAGATCAGTGCGATGGAATTGTCCAGACACTATGTATGGAATAGACCCTCCCTCCAGCGATCATGGAAGTGGATGGCCTGGCCCCTGCGAAGACGATTTTCCTCTACAAGTAGGGGGGGGTGAACTCCATGAAACCAACCCTGAAACCCTGAAACCACCCCAACTGAACAGTATACAGAGGCCATGACGTGGGTCATATCACAAACGATCTCTTCTTTTTAGTCTTTTGATACATACCACAGTACATACCACCTTTGTTTGAGGAAAGCGGTCTTCCGAAGAGCATCCTCAATTTGTTCAATCCACATCACCTGATCCCTTGGAAGCTCAGATCATCATCGGTCCATCAACCCGAGTCCATCGGCAACCCGTGCGACCCGGGTCCATCTCAGCCCGGCCGGTATAGTCGGCCCTTGACCTTAAGAGTCCGAAAGGGGGAGCTCTCTTTATTTAATACATGGCTGTGGGATGCTGTGGGGTCCCAGAACCGAACCAGTCCACCATGGCTGCCGCGAACGAGCGTTCTTCCAGGGCAAAACCATTCGGTCTGCTGCCATGATCCACGTCCATATTGGGCCCGCCCAGCATTGAGTGACTTGATCTTCTTGCGTGCAAGAAACCCTCCTAAAGGTCCAATGACTCTTCTAATTTCATCTCCAACCGACCAGATCTTCCACTTGCAGAATCTATGTAGCGAGTCGCTGTCGCTCCAACTGACGCTCCAATGACACCTGCACATCCACATCCATCGCGCAATCCGGATAATCCGACGTTTTCCAACGTCGATGGCCCACTTTGCTTGGGCTCTCCTGTGTTGACCTCCACCGTTTTCGGAAACCGCGCAAACGCGTTTGGCCCCGGTCAACCGGTGCCGGTGTCCCACCGAGTTCTGGACTACAACCAGGATGGGCTGCTCTCCGGCGAGGAGTTGCGCGCATGGATCCAGAAGGAGGAGTTGCTGCCCGACCCCGCACGGTCCGCTGTTAGGGTCCGCTAGACCCGTGGCTGGAAGATGCTACTGATGCTACTGTTGTTGTTTTTTCGGGCTCAGAAGCGACAAGCGACACGACTCTAGACGTAGTCGCATCTGTCACCATCACTTGATACGTCTAAGGTTAGGACGTGGGGAGAAGACGGAGTTAGGAAACCTATGACAGACTCCCCCTGCAGATGTTCACGCGCGACAGCACACCATGGTGCAAGTGACGGTCAGAGATTGTACCACCCGCAATTTCGGGAGGAAACCTGCACCTGGCGGTTTTGCTGGGATGTTTCGCAGAAAGGGGAAGACTTGCCGGCCATTGTTTTGTTCCTGAACCGTTTTTGCACACTTTGTGCAAATGTGTGCTCGACATGTTGAACTGTTTCTGTGGCATTTGGGCAATTGCTCAAATGAAGGCCGGAATCTTGAGCTTGCTAATACTCTCCACTGGCTTGCTATGTGTTTGTTCTTGCTCTTGCAGGGGCACCAAGTCCATTTCGTCGCTGCAGGACGATGTGATGAACGACGAAGAGGCGGAGGAGGAGGCGCGGAATCCCTTGCGCGACCGCGGAAGTCGGGGTTCCGGAGCGCGGAAGTTCCGGCGTGAAGGACATGTCGCAGCACCGGGTAACGGCATCTTCCACTTGGACCAGCAGAAATTCCCCAGTATGCTCAATGATCCAGGTGTGATAGAGTTTAGAGGAGTGAATTCTAGTTCCTTGTTTTGGAGAGTGATCCGGCTCCCTTAATTGGAAAGCTACCTGAATTCGGAGGATTTCCCCTTCATTTGTGGCGGATGTTGTGCAAGAGTTCACGGATGGGAACCCAAAGCCATCACCCAGACGCTCATTCGAGGAACCAAGGGCTATTTGGAGCGTCTGGGCAGTTAAGATCTTTTAAGCCTACCCTGTCAGTCTGTCACATCCTTTAACCTTTTTGGGGGATTCGTGTCCCCACTGAACCAGAACAGGTTGGGAACAGGTTAACCAATTCATGTTCCAAGGAAACTGAGGCAATCAGTTAAGGAAGGAGCTTTGCTCAACTTCATTTCATCCCTAGCTCCCCTAAGCCCTATGCCACTTTGTGGAAGGACAAGAGATGTCATGGGACATGACGGGTGCCATGCAATGGAGCAACAATCTCTCATCTCATTGTTTTTTGGACCCACAACAACGACACAACAACGTATATATTCATAAGTACCAGCAATCCAGACTGCCAAATCTCCTCGTTCGAGGGTTGTTGGGACCTAACAGGTCAAACCATTGGTGACCTGTGAAGTCGGATGCTAAGGCCAGGAGCTACGACAGTAGCTAGTAGCGTCCGCTACTTGGATGATGTTCAATCGAAGTAAGCAGGGTGGAGTGGAGCGCTCTCCCACAGTGGAGTGCCCGAAGAGGAACCTTCCCGAAGACTCAACGACCGAGCCTGTCGCGCCGTCCTCGGAAATTGTTCTGCGCGAGAAAGACCCGGACCTTTCCAAAGAGGTAGACCTATGCAGTGTTCAAACCTCGAATGAGGAAATGCTGTAGACATATTGTAGACATGCAACCACCAAACATTTCACCTATGGCTTCATTGGTGGGGGGTGGATCCCCCAAAAAGCAGGGGTGATCACTTCAGGCTCTTCACCGACGTCTTGTGTAAGTTCAGCTTGGTTTGTTTGGAGTTAGGCTCACTTCCTCCCGCCTACGGAACACGAAGTCTCCATCGCACGGGCCACTCGGCAGGCCAAAGTGGCCTTGGAGGTCTTTGACCACGACAAGGATCTCAGCCTTAACAAGGCCGAGCTGGTCGCGCCGAGAGAGTCTGAGTCGGGTGTGAGTCGGGTGTGAGTTTTCCAGCTGAAACAGCACCTGCTGGTGCGGGTCCTGGGGAGGGATGCTGCTGCGTTTTCGGCGTTCATGTGGTTTGCATGGGACAAATGGTTTTCTATTAAGGAGAAGCATACATATGTGTCCACCAATGTTTGGCTGGCTACAACTTTGACAAATACCACTTAGTTACTTAGTCACTAAGTCAATTTGGCACCGGCAACCAAGTTTCCAGCCAGTGGTTTTCTTTGAAGGCCTGACTCTGTTGTCAATCACAAGTCATTCCCCATGAAAGATGTGACTTTGAGCACTGCCTACATTGTCTAGGAGGTGACTTTGGAAGATGATTATTCTTTAGTGACATATTCTGACAGCGTGCACATGTCAGAATAGCCGCTTGGTGAACATCCCCTGACTTCTTGACCTTAAGCTGTTCGTTCTTTCCAACCACCCCACACCGCCGGAAAAAAACGCGGATTCCAACGGCGCCAACCCCGTCGTTCGATCCAACAGCCCCTATAGGCGGAGTTCAAGGAAGCCATCAATTCCAGAGAGGCCGAGCAGAGCCGGGCGCGCAGTGAGTGCGATCGCTGTTCGCGCGAGGGTGCGACGTGATGCGAAGCCGGGGGCTTTCACAGCGGCTGGGGAATTCATGCAGGACACGGAAAGGTGCCGCCTGAGAATTCCAGGTGTCCGGTCTTCGGCTCAGGGAATTTCCGGGTTGCTTTTTTTTGCGTAGGTCCTTTGGGTGTGATGAGGTGTTTTGGGGTTGATGTTGATTCTCCATCTGAAGTTGGCTCCTCCTTTCTGTGACCCAAGAGTCCAACAGCCAGTGCCTTAACAGTTTGGAGCGGACTAGGTGTTTCTCGTTCCATGTCTGACGCTGCCCCACCGTCGTCGCGTCGTGCCCAATGAGATCGTTGGTGTTTCGGGTTCCAAGACTGCTCCTTGGAGGTTATCGGTCTAGGAAGTGTTTTTTGGATGCTTTCAGCATTTGAGACTGAGATGCGCACTCATCAACCCAAAAAAACACACACATGTATCTTTACCACGATGGGCCGGCCGCCTTCCACACACACACACCCTATAATAATATGTACCTGGAGCCTGGAACGACTGCTTTCTTTTACTTTGGTTGTCTCTTCAAACGACCGTATATGTCTTTAAGCGACCATTAAAACCAAAAAAAATGTTTTTTCTTAAACGACCGATGTTTTGTCATTATGATGATGTTCAACACCTATTACATGCACAATGCAAATCGAGCAATTGAAGTACAAAACACGAGGCAATTCGGTAATTCTGTATGTTTCATTATGTTTCTATGCATGCACATTGCAAAACACAAGCTAATTCTGTATGTCAATACATGCACACACTGCAAAACACAAGGGAATTATGTAGTTCACAATATCCATACAATGTCCATATACGTGATTTTGATGTGCTTTAGCAAGTACATCTGTGCTTTTGTAAGGACACCCTTTTCATGTGCTTTCGCAAGCACATCACTTTCCATGTCTTTGGATATTTCATCATGCATGCAACCTGCAGCATCTATTAAAAGGGGTTCAGTGTTTTGGTGACTATGTGCAATCGTCGCGGCCTGAGATTGTTGCATGTGGCCACAAGTCGCTTGCGTAATTCTTTTGAGAAGATTTTGACGCTGTCTTGCATGTGGCCATGGGAGAGGGCTGCAACATTGAAGAGGCTTTGGCACAGATACCGCCATATCCGTTTGCAGCTCATGAGAAGTGAAACTCTTGGAGCGGTGGGAAGATCTTAGTCCTAGTGTACCTGTATACACGAGGATGCCAAAACACGTCAACAGAGCATATATGCAACCTGCCACTTGCACCGACTGCCAAGCATTGACAACGAGCATTATGAGTCGGTATGTCTTTGGCATGATCAGCAATGTGTTCAACATAGTCCACAAGCGCTTCTACGAAAGCAGCGTGGAAGTATGCAGGACTGCTCATATGACACCGTCACCCGCTGCGTCAAAGTATTCCCAGAAACCAACGACGATGGGAACTACAAGGAGCAGCGCCATCGAAAGCATCACCTACCGCAGAATCTGCAGCACGTCTATCACACCAGCATCAAAGCCGAAGCCATCGCAAGGTCCAGAACATGATCGAGATGCCAGATCTTCACAAGACGTTCCACCACCATCTCGTGCTTCAGAACCCAAGGGTAAAGGAGACGAGGATGCAAGACCACCTGACACCACCTATCGTGGAGCCTGAGTTGGTGAATGCACACACCTGGATGCAAACGATTTGTATTATGAAGAATATCATCTACGCGGTCCAGACCCAGTGCACCCTCCTGAACAGCATCACTGAACGACGAGGTAAAGGGAAAGGCCATGAATGGCAAGATTGGTAGGAAGACTAGAGGCTGGATCGATCGAAATGACAAGTCAGGGCGAAGGCGGCAGTGAGCGTGGTGATATCTACATGTTGAAGTGTGCAGGTAGAGCGAACCCTTGTTCAATGCTGCCCTGGCCCGGGGAGACACCCAGCTTGTCCGTGAAGAAGGTGGAGTTCATGGCGCAAATTCGTGGTGGGCAGGGAGAAGGGCAGTGACCAGACTGTGCAGACTCAGGGTCAGCGAAAGCTAGATGCTGAAGAATACAAGGCTCTGGGGGACGTTTTTGGAAAGCTGAAATAGCAATTGAAGCACAGGGCTGGGGATCAAAAAGCCTTGGAAGCACACCACCTCCCATCGAACTACGAGCAGTTGATCAAAAAGGCACTTGAGGGATTCTTGCGAGAGGCTCTCGAAGGAAACGTTGAAGTTGGAGAAGGATGCCGGGCTCAGTCGGGACAAGACAGCGTGCTTGAAAGACGGCTACCAATCTATGCGCCGGCACTTGCGCATGCTGATGCGCCTGAGCTCGTTTTGTGAATTCCCTGATTCGACTCCGTTGACGGTTCAAGGCTTCGAGTCCGCCATGAACGATGTTGCCCTCAGCGTCGACCAGCTCAACGCCAAGTATGAGGAGCTAAAGGGTTACCTCAAGGCGAAGAAGAACTAGCTATATAAGCAGAAGTGATGCCTGCAGCTAGCTAAGCAGAAGTGATGCCTGGTTGTTTTTTGGACCATGACCGTCTAGAGGTTAAGCGCAAAGTCTTTCGCGGATCACACCTCTTCAAACTGAACCACCAAATAAGGGTCGACCGCGACAACCGGGTAGGAGTTGGACAAGCGCTGCCAAACAACAATCACAACTGTGAGAAACTACGCGTAAAGACTGACCGTGCCTTGGAACTCCCGGATGCATTGAGGCCAATTTGCAGTTGGAGAATATGAGCTTCACCGGCTGGATTAATGATGATGAAAATGAAGACGGAAGTACGAGGACTAGGCATGGAACCGTTTCAAGCTGTTTGAGAACCGTTCTGAACCATTACTTCTCAATCGTTCACGCTGAAAGAGCGCGGGTATAGCCCGAGACCAAGTGCAAGTGAGTGAGTGCATTTGTGCCTAGATCCGTTCATTTTCCACTCAACCCTCAGCTCAAAATCATGACAGTACATGAGATATGACATTGCCCAGCCCGTTGAACGAAACGAGTGTATTTGATATTTTTCCGAATTGGGAGGGAACACTGCCAAGTTCGGCAAACGCACCCCCCTTGCTTTTTGGCAGATCATGTCTAACGCTCCACTTCTATTTGTGACTTGATATATGTCAGGAGGAAGACAGGTTTGTGCTTCTTGCCTTCCTTCCAACATCTATGCGGATCAGCCGCGGTCGATTTAGACAGGGTCTGGCTTGAACCGTTGGCGAGAACATTTTCCAGAGAATGCATTTTTGAATTTTTGGATTTCTATTGAAGATTTCGGCAGAAAGGGGGAGTGGTCAGAGGCAGGGGATCCAACTCCACCGACCGATGCTCCACGTAGAGTTGAAGACTGGATCTTTGTTGAAGCAGTTCATGACTGTGCGGGCCGTGGTGCTCTCCTGCTGAATCGAGTGCGAAATCTTACGTTGAAGCCCTTGAAGACTTGAGTTTTGACGTTGGTACCTCGTAGATGGCCCTCAGCCGCAGAGGCTCCTATAAGCCCCCAAGGCCCAAGGTTTTCCAATCAAGCTGCGCAAAGGGTTGGCGCATCATCCTTCATCACTGGGACTGGAGGACC